GTTTTTAACTACATATGTAGTACAATTTTTTTTTTTAACTACATATGTAGTTAAATTAATGTACATTAATAAAATTTAATTAATGTATATTATTAAAAAAATTCATTAACAATATTATTTTTTAAATATTAATGTTTTATTTTTATCCAAAAAAATTTAAATTAAGTTTTCGTCTTTTTTTTTTGTTGTTGCTTAGAAATAATGAAATTTTAGACAAAAATTTATGTTAAGCTTAACGGAGAGAAGTGAATATTTTCGGTTGCCTGATATTTTCAAGAATCGCATTTTTTTGTATAAAATGATTTATTTTTGAAAGTTCGAAGCAGAGAGCTATTGCGTCATTGTCCTTTTTAAAAGATAGGGTCTCTCCAGGATAATGTTGTGTTTGTGCTTTTTCCAATTTAATGAATTTAGAAACTTTCACTTTGAGATATTGTATTCAAAACCAAATAATTTTTTAATTTCTTTCAACGTTGATATTCGCTCTTTTATAGAAGTAATTGTTATCTCCAGTATTACAAAAATATAATTAACTTAGAGCTTCTCTTTCGGATCGTCGAGGAATTCACATTTTTACACCTAAATAACGTTTTCTTTTTCCTTCATCTTATTTCTGGCTAGAAAAATTGCCTCAATATTGATTTCTTCTGCGATCTGGCAAGCATGAACTAAAACTCTCTCAAATTCAATGTCACTTCTCATTTACTGACTGAGTATAGTGTTTTTCTTGCATCAATTTACTAATCTAAATGATCCGAAATAATGTGATGTCATCATACAACTGCCGCAATAAACTTAGATCTTAGTTATTAGACCTGCTTCAACCTTAGTAATGGTACCAGAAAACCTTTTAAGATTAAATCTTCATTCAATTTTTAACAGTGTGTCGTCCCAGGAAAAAAGTTATTATAGAATTTCTATAAACTTTTATATATAGAATATAAGGCTATAGAATTTCTATAAACTTTTGAAACATATGGCCAACAGAATTTCTATAGAATCTGTGTTAATTTCTATAGAAATTTCTATAAAATCTTTTTTCTTCTTTCTTTTCTAGAGAAAAAAAAGTTTTATAGCAATTTCTATAAAACTTAATAGAAATTCTATAGAAATTCTATAGAATTTCTATAGAATTTCTTTTATTGGGAAAATGTTTCAAAAGTAGATAATCTTTTATTGGCAAAATGTTTCAAAAGTTTATAGAAATTCTATAGAACTTTTTTTCCTGGGGTATGTACCCCAGGAAAAAAAAGAAATTTCTATAGAATGTCTTTTAATTTCAATAGAAATTAAAAGACATTCTATTTCATTCATACTCAGAAATTAAAAGACATTCTATAGAAATTCTATAGAATTTCTATAGAATTTCTATAAGCCTTATGTTTCAAAAATTTTAAAAAATTCTATAAAAAATTTTTTCCTAGGGTACACATCAGTTAACTAGTACTTCATGGAAGATAAAGCATCAATCTTACTTAAACACCGAGTATGACTCTACAGCTAAATAGTCAAAGATAGTGAAAGACGTTTTAATATATCCTATTGAGTTGTAGATAAAGCAAAGTACAAATAAAGTTGTACTATAAAATCAAAAAAGGCTGTGGGTATAATGCAACACAGAGCAACATTATTCACCACTAGGTTCAGGGTGTAAGCATTGCATGGGATATAGAAATTTTAGGAATATTATCCACGATTTTTATTTGCAAATCTATTTCTTTTCCTTTTATTTTGCTCCATTATCATAAATTTAACCTCTTAAATATTTTTATTTTTATCATTTTTTATATTTTTTATTTTAGGTACCCCCAAGAAGTCCTTACGGTCTAATCACAGAGCACTACGGAAAAGCATTTGAAGAGAAGTTCAAAACTCTTTTTCTTACTGATGTTATAAACTTGCCCAGAGATGGCGTTGAACCACGGATCTCAAGCTTTTTAGGCAAGCGCGCTAACCACTACGCTACTGCTGCTTCAACTGACAATCAAAAGCTGTTCAACTGATCAGAACATGGCTTCGCCTGTGCTATCTGTTAATCGGACATGGTTTCTCCTGTGGTTTCTCCTGTTAATGATACAACTAACAAAAAGTGTTTCCCTCTTTTTTAGAAATTTTTATCAGCAGATTGTAACTACGCAGCCCTTAAATATTGGACAACGGCGACAAAATTTTATCACCATTACTGTTTGTTCTTTGCGGCTGATATAACCAACCATGTTGTTTGAAAAAATGAAAATGATTTGTCTATGAAAAAGATTTGTCTTTGATGCCATATGATAGCACAATGTTACCCGAGGGGTGACACTAATCAACAGATACTGCGGTTCATTGCAACAAATTGCAATATTATTGCGCTTTCAATTAAAAATGCTATATATTGCGCAATTAATTGCCAAATAAAATATCAATAAAATTATACGAAATGAAATGTGTTAGTAAATGTATTATAGATGCATTTAAATGAAAATAATTACTAATTACCCGTGTCTTTTTTTTGTTTTGCATAAGCTAAATTTGTTTTTGAGCAGTAAGTTTTTTAAGTAGCAAGATTATTGTTAAAATATTGCAATATTATTGCAAAATTATTACAATATTATTGCAATATTAAGACAATATCATTGCGATATTATGGCAAATTACTGCAGCTTTATTAGGTAGAATCCTCATTTGATCACAACTTTTTTCAATTAATTTACTTTACTCATAGATGATAAACAAAATTGCAAAGAATTATACGCGTAATTGTTTTTATATTTAGATAATTTTATGATCCATCCAAAGGTACAGAATGGAAAACCACAAGCAAAGTTTTTCAAAATTTTTTATTTTTAACTTTGGGGCCATCCATAAAGTACGTACACAGCACAATGGGACGATTACATACAAATGGCAAAACGAAAAAGAAAGTTAAGGAAGAGTTCATGTTAAGTGAACTCTTCAAGTCTTTGTCGGTTCGACTAACAGCACTATTGCACTTTCTAACAACGTGCGCAATTCTGTCCGCTTTTTCTATGCTATCATTCTAACACGACTACTTCTGCCTTTCACTCTAACACATCTTCGTACTTCCCAAATTCACCTTTCTCTCGGTCTGTAGAGCGGGTTATAACGTTCCAATAGGAGCCAAAACAAGTCTCTGCGGACCAGGAAATTTTGCCTCTACAAGGCAATTAGCTGGCGGAGGATAAACCACAAAACCTTACATACCTAAGGGTGGTTAAAATTATATTCTCTTTTTTTTTCAATTTAAAAAAATTTATATAGTTAAGAGTATATAGTCAAAATTTCACATAGTTTTAGATTAGTCTATAGTTTTAGAGAAATTCAACTTTGTAGCATAGGAGCATATAAATAATTTTCCCGAGGAAGGGGTGGGGTTTGGTTCAAATACTATAATATTTCTTAAAATTATCGATACTATACGAAAACTTAATCTAGAATTAAAATATTAATTAGAATTAAATAGCTAAAAAAATAAATACCCTCTTTAAAAATCATAAATGGAAGAGTGATAAGAGAAATTATTTTGCGCCTTACTTCACCCCCAAGTTGCTTTAAAAGGAAAGGAAAAAACTGCAATGAGTAAGCTTTTAATAATAATTTTTTAAGTGTTTTTTCTTGTTAGGATCAAAAAGAAAAAGAATTTAAAACTTTTTAGAAAATTGCAGTTTTCATGAACAGTTTATTACTGCTGTCATAGAATGCTAAGTTTTGGACATCTAGAAATTTTAATAGAAATATAATTCGCTCTATGATTTGATTCCCAATACTTTTCGTCTTCTTTTAGCTTTTTTCTATTAACACTATCAATAGTTGTGTTTTGCGTTATGTTTTCACAGGAAATGCTGTGTTGATGGTTTGTTATGTCAAAAATTGCTGATTGCAACATTCTGAGTGCAACTTGTGATTGAATTCAATATTTTTTCCAAAAAGATTACAGCAAAAACAAAATTTTTTTTTTTCCTTATCTAAAAGGAAGTTTGTCGAAACTTGTGTGGGACCGAAAACGTTTCTAATTTTTTATATTTATTAGTAAATTTTCCAAAGAAACAGGATCTCAGAAAGTTATTTTACGTATTCTTGAGTTATTTCAATCAATTTAAATTGAGCACTAGTTTTGATTTTAAAGGTATCTCCTGCAAAACGGCCCAACAATTAATTCCATTTGAATTGTATTTTGATTTAAGAGACTTTAGAAGACCAAGAATGAAGTTTTTTTTATTCGAAAGCCATTAAAGAGTCACTGCTACCGGTAACTCTTTGCGCATTTTGCGCATTTGAGTAAGAACAATAATTTAAAAAAAAAAGAATTATAACGTTTCTTGAAACGAAACATAAATATGTTTAACAACTATTAAAAAATTCTATCTTTAAAGAAAAGCTTAAACAATGATTTAATTAGTTCATTTATAACATTTGTTTTTAATTCAAAAATCGCATTAAACTTAAATAAAAATTGGATCAAAATAACTCCATATTGAAAAGGCTTCTGTATAAATTATCTTTTGTTTTAAATATTTTTTGAACGCTCTGACCTAAATTCTCTTTCTTAAGACAAAAGTAGATTAAAAATGTTCCCCTTCAAAAAACAGCGAGAAACAACTTTATAAGAGTGGTTTATTATAATCATTAAATAAATTTGTGTGAGAGTGATAAAAATAAAAGTTTACAAAAGTGCAATGCACACATATAAATGAGTTCATTCGTATCACACATATTTATACATACAATATATAGTAATATATTATATATAAAATATTTTACAAGTATAATAAATAATATTGAAATTAAATTAACAATTAAAATTAAAACACAAAAATCCCCTAAAAACATTATTAATATGATTAAAAATATTATAAAAACCGTTAAAATATTAATAAAGTTTTATCTTTTTATGTTAAGTTAACTTTTAAATATAATCTTTAGTAACTTAGCTATATATAGAAATTTTATGAACACTTTAATAAAAATTAAATATTTTAGCTTAAAGTTCATCTCAAACAAATTAAAAAACCTGAAAATTCAGTTATTAGATCGTATTTTACTAGATCAAATCATTCAATAAATAGAGGTTTTATAATTATATTACATATAAATTTCATACAAATAATTCATTTTATACAATATTTTTTGTGCAACCAATAATCTCTTTGTTTGCAACTTTCACTGCAATAAATTTGTTTGAGGCATTTCATACATTTAAAGATGCCAGGTTCACCACAAATACAAAATAGCTCAGTAATTTCTAAAAATTTAAAACTTAGAAATATCAAAGAATATAACTATATACAACTTATCTAGGTTTTACCTCTTTTTAATTTTTTAATTTTTTCATTAGTAAATTGTTTATGCTCTTGGGTTGGAGTTATATCTTTATATAAAAAAAATAACTAAGTGGAGTCATGCCATGAAAAACTCGAAAATAGTTCATGTTGTTCCAAAAATTTCGTGTTTGGCATTAATGTTGAGAAAATTTTTTTGTTATATTAAAAATGTGCACGATTTAAAAAATGCAATTAGATTTTTTTTTTCTTCATTCTTGATGGCAACTGCGTATTCTTTAAACAAGCAATAACTTCTGTATCAACTTAAAAAAAGTTAGCTGCAAACAACCAGTTTTATCATAGGTTAGTGTCAGAGAATCTCCAAAAACAATTTTTTGGCAAAGTTTTTTTTGAGTATAAACACATAGTTACCCCTGTGTTTAAATGAATAGTCTCACATTGGGTCAACTTTCATGATAAAAGCACAATATACATCAAAGAACCATAGCACAATATACATCAAAGAATGTCTCAAACCTGTTCTTTTTGTCTTTGAAAAATATCAACCAAATATGACACCAAAAGCATAAAATTTTTTCTATAACAACGCAAAATCTCATGACAAAAAAAGTCGTTCTAGAGTACCTGAACAATGAGGCTGTTGTCATAATTAATTGTACTCAAATCTTATATTTTGTATTTTTCAGGTTTTTGGCAAAACGAACCAATACCTGTTGACCGCAAAAATATTCAAAACCTGATAAAGCAGATTAGAGAAACTATTGCAGAACTAGTCAAAGAAGGGTGTATAGTCAAAGAAAGGTGGTTAAAATAGTTTCAGATCTATCTCAGAACAAAAATATTCCCCACAATCAGATCTACAAAACAATAGCAATAAAGCGCGAATGAGTCATCTGACTTGCAGTATTTTGAATTGGTATTTGAAAATTTATCAATAATAGATCTTTTAAAGATAAATTTGTCTTAATTCTGACTGTACAATAACTAACAAGTCCATAAGTAGCGCACATATACTAGGTGTAGTCGAGTGTTTAAAATTGATATTTTTGTTATTTTGAGGGATAAAAAATTATCGATTGTTAAAAGTTTCTACTTTTTAGAAAACAAAACAGAAAATATTATTCTTATTAAGAAAACAAAACACTTCCCTAATTAATTTAAGAGATGACAACATTGATATTATTTATTATGCCTTTTGCCTTTTTTTTAATCTAGTAAAATTTAAATTGAATCAAATGTAGGATCGAATCATTTTAACTTCAAACAGTTTATTGAATTAAAATCTAAAAATGATTTAATAAAAAAATGAAATTATAAAATTACCATCTCTGGTAATCATCTTTACTTTGATTTGCTTTTTAAATGCATCACGTACAAGAACCGCATTCTCAATGGCTGGATGAAATGTCTTTTGATCTAATGAAATAAACACAAAATCCAACTCACTTCTGATTGCTTTTTTAACTGATGGACGAAGAACAAACAATGAGCTGTCTATATTAGCACGAGTTACACCAGCATACTGGAAAGAGGAAAAAGCACCATCTGTCATCTGAAAAATTTCCAATAATTGCATATCTTCATCTAAGGAATTGAAATAACTCATTTAATAAATATATGATAAGCGAGAATACGCACTAAACATATATTTGTTTATACATATATACAAGTATATTTGTTTATACATATATAATAGGCAAGTATATCCGTTTATGTATTTTTAATAAATCATCAAAAAAGAAAAAGTCTAAAGATTTTTCCTAAATCTAAAAAACTTTGCATATTTTACTTAAAATCTAAGTAAAATATGCAATGTAAGATAATAAAAATGAAAATAAAGGTCATTTTAATCTTTTTGTTATAATAACTTGTTAAAATATGCAAAAAATTAAATGAAGCACATTTAATTTTAGACATGTAATCCAGGCTTCCACATACACCTCTATCTATCTATCTATTTATCTATATCTATATATATATATCTATCTATCTATCTATCTATATATATATATATATATATATATATATATATATATATATATATATATATATATATATATATATATATATATATATATATATATATATATAAATATATATATATATATATATATATATATATATATATATATATATATATATATATATAATATATATATATATATATATATATATATATATATATATATATATATATATATATATATATATATATATATATATATATATATATATAATATATATATATATATATATATATATATATATATATATATATATATATATATATATATATATATATATATATATATATATATATATATATATATAGATATCGGAAGGAACATGGGTTGGACTCAGAACTCAAGAATTACTTTTTGAGAATAGGTGGTATCATGACCTGGATAATGATTTCAGTGACCTTTTTCAATGTTGTTATCCATTTTTATTTATATTTTTATCATCTTTTGCTGATTTATTGTTTTTCATCAAGATTTCAAGACAAGTAACTCTTAATAAAATGCTGCTCAGAGCAGTTTGGAAGATTTGCATCTTCTGGGGCAATTTCAAAATATGCTACACGAAATAGTGGATCATTGACAAATCTGGCTAAAAGTTAATTATCCTTCTGTGTCAGTTAATTAATGGCCAAAAATATTTCTTTAGACATTTAGTGAGGTACAAATCAGAAATCAAAATCTTTCAAGTGACAATAGGAGCACTCTTAAGGCCACAAGAGCAAATCGCTTGCCACATGAGGATAATTGGTGACTTTTGACAACTTTGTAATTTTTGAATGTTAAAGTTGAATTTTGAAGGAACATTTTCAAAATCTTTTTCCAATTATTCAATTGTTTACTCATTTTGGACTAATAAACTATTACTATTAGTAAAACACCAAGACAATTAAATGTATTTAAATACAATGTCATTATTAAAAAAATAATTGTTATTGCAAAGTGTACCTGGCTAAAAGGTATTGAGCCTACCCAATAAAAGCTACCATACCTGCCTAAATTCAGGAGATATAACAGGTTTCAATTATTAGCAGAGAATCAAAAGATTAGGCCAAAGGACATCATGAAGAAAATCACTAAAAGAATACCAGTTTGCTTTATGGTAGTAGCACACAGTTTGCCGATTTCGCCAATTTTCACCTAACCCTCAAATTGAGGACCAAAAAAATTATCTCTCTCCATTAATCTAGAGGCACTCAAAGTTCATTTGGCATAAAAACTAAAATCTGGTTACACCATCTCACAGTGGGCCAGAGATCAGCATAAATGCTGAAAATGAGTATTTATGAAAACTTTTTTTTTTTCTTTCAAAACTTTAAAAGTAAAAACCTCACAATAAAAAAATATGTTGGTTAGATATTTTCATTTATGTTTTGGAAGTACTGGGAAAGTTTTTCCAGCTCATCCATTTAAAAAACATTTTTATTTTTTTTAAAAAAAAGAGTGCAGTTTACTTTAATATAATTTAAATTTTATAGTCTCAATAGCAGGATATTTATTTTTATTTAGGACTTTATTTAGAAATATTTTTATTTAGGACTTTATTTAGAAATATTTTTATTTAGGACTTTATTTAGAAATATTTTTATTTAGGACTTTATTTAGAAATATTTTTATTTAGGACTTTATTTAGAAATATTTTTATTTAGGACTTTATTTAGAAAACTTACTAAATAAAAATAATCTTTTATTTTATAAATTTTTTCTTAACTTTAAATATTACAGTTAAAGTAAAAATATAATAAAACGTTACTATAAAAGGCTCAAGATTATATTTTGACTACAATCTTTTTCCAATAAGATCTTTTTTTGTCTACGTTTCCCCACTAAGAGAATACATTTTTTTACAATGTCTTAATATTGTAAAAGGTAACAAACATTTTAATTAATTAATGCTTCGAATCTGGAAAAAACTATTTCTAAAAACAGCCACAAAGTTATGTCTAAAATCCCTAACATTCTATACATCATTTTCTATTAGGGTTTTTAGGATGCCTGCATCTGCAAAAAAAAAACAAAAAAACAATTACTTTTCTTAAAAAAAAGATCTTCATGATGACAAGAGTAACTGATAAAAATTTTAATTTGACAACTTTAAAAATTAAGGAGTTATAATTTTTTTATGTTGTATAATTTCATGTTGATCTTGACCCACTGTGCGTCTGAGAGAGAAAATTGAACTTGAAGTTTGATAGTCTCTACAACATTTTCAACATGCTGGTTGAATAAAATGATGGGTAAATACCTATCAATGTTCCATTTAATGATATAAATGTGATTTTTCATAGATTTTATATGCCCTTGTTAAAATATAACCATTTTTAGGGGTTTTTGGTCAAAATATTTGGTTCCTATTTAAGGCTCAAACGTATCAACTAGAATGCAAAATTTTGTACACCATTTTTAGCACTGTCAGTTTCTATCAAAATGATGCAAATAGCATCTTAACTTTTAAAACTGTATAAGGACATAGAGTATTCAAAGGGCTTCCAGTAGAAAAAGGAATGGAGCAATTATCTTTTCATTTGGCTGATTTATGAGGCTTCGAACTGAAACTCTTAGAGGAAGCGTTTTTACTCTTTTTGAAAAAAAAAAATTCTAAATTTTTTCAGCCTTTAGTAATTTTTGCACCTGTAATTGTACTTTTTGCTTAATAAAGTCAAAAAAGTACAAAAATAAAATGAAAACTTGAGTGAAGCGTTTTCAAATTTTTAAATTTTATTCTGAGTATATGTATACATATTATGTATATATATATATATATATATATATATATATATATATATATATATATATATATATATATATATATATATATATATATATATATATATATATATATATATATATATATATATATATATATATATATATATATATATATACATATACATATACATATATATATATATATATATATATATATATATATATATATATATATATATATATATATATATATATATATATATATATATATATATATATTCATATATATATTCATATACATATGTATATATATATATATATATACATATATATATATATATATATATATATATATATATATATATATATATATATATATATATATATATATATATTTATGTATTTATAAAACATGGAGTTAAGTGATTTAAATGAGTTAATTGATTAGGGTTTTCTGGAAGTCACAAATTAAATATTGTAAAAGAATTGCAAGAATTATGAGCTCTAGTGTGTGCAGCATTATTGGTACTAGAGGCAAGCCATTCAGTGTGATGAGCATTAAAGTCACTAATAATAACAATATTGGCTTGAGGGATGGAAATAAAGGGCCAATTTGATCAAAACATCAAATGAAGTGCAGTCTTGAAAAGGAGAATAATAAAGAACAAAGAGAAAGGTGAAAAGGTGGTAAATAGAAGCAAATAAATGAATGGTCAGAGGATTATTATATGATTTCTTGACATATAGGTAAATTGATATGTAAGTATATGTCTAGACAAAGTATGTGAGTATTGGATTCAATTAAAAGATAATAACCATCAACACATAAAGATTTAAATTAGTCTTACAAAGAGCAAATAGGTCTGGTGAATTTTTCAGGAGGTAGGATACAACTAATCAAATGTTAACTCAAAGACGACGAATATTTGTGAAACATAGGTAGACACAATTAGACTTTTTTCCATGTTTTGAAACTATAGAGTTGGGAGTGGGTTATAACCACAATATATATAAGTATATTAATTGCAATATATATAAGAATATTAATTGTTTGTAACATACCTTTGTTACTAGTAATCTCTCCTGGCAATGTTGTTGAAGAGTTGTAATGTGAATCATGATTTATCTGAGCCACTGCATTATTTACTTTATTAATTGGAGGTATTTTACTAATTAAATTAGTTGGCCTTGAAGATGTTGCCAATGGAGAAAGGGCCCCATACCTTTTAGGTGGCTCATAATACTGTATTTAAAGAATTAAATTTTTTTCAATTAAAATTTTATATAATATGTTAAAAACCTTTATTTATATATTTTGAATATAAGATATAACTAACATTATATAATATGCTAAATGGTAAAAAAGTTACCATTTTATCTTGCAATTCATTTTTTTTTTGAATCAACACGTAAGCATTCTTCACTGGTAAAAATATCTCTCATATTCTTTAGAGATTTACTTTTTATGGAGCTAGTGGATGTCATAACATTTTCTGGAAGAATTGTTTGATCATAGCCCAT